GATCTGCCCCTGGACTGGGCACAGCTGAGCACTGGGGTCAGTTTGGGCACCACAGGATAAGAAAGAGCTTGAGGGGCTGGTGCAGGTCCAGAGAAGGACAGCGAAGCTGGTGAGGGGTCTGGGGAACATGGCTTGTGAGGAGCAGCTGAGGGACCTGGGGGTGTTTAGTCTGGAGAAGAGGAGGCTCAGGGGAGACCTTCTGGCTCTCTACAACTCCCTGAAAGGAGGCTGGAGTGAGGTGGGGATTGGTCTCTTCTCCAAAGTAACCAGAGATAGGATGAGAGGAAGTGAGATTAAATTGTGCCAAGGGAGGTTTTGATTGGATATGAGGAAGAATTTCTTTCCTGACAGATCAGTGAGGCCTTGGCCCAGGCTGCCCGGGGAGGTGCTGGAGTCACCATCCCTGGAGGGGTTCAAAAAACATGTGGACGTGGCACTTGGGGACATGGGAGTGTTGGGTTGATGGTTGGGCTTGATGATCTTGGAGGTCTTTTCCAACCTTAAGGATTCTATGATTCACTCATTGTTTGATAATCAAATACCCATTCTGGACCTCACAAGTGAGCTCTGTTCCAGTTTAATATCTGAACAGAGAAGTGTCCATAAAGTCCTCAAACCTCAGGTGAAGGCTCCTTATGCTGTGCTCATTTCCCACACTATCCTGTCAGGGTGTCACACCTACAATCATGGATACCTACAGCTCCATACATGTCCTCACTGTAAATGCTCAGAAAATGAGGGTGGACTTGAGTAACAGGTATTTATTAATCTGTATGATTACATGATTCTTTAGCTTTACTTAAACCTGACCTTTGCACAGGCCTCCTTCTAACAGCTCCTGATTTACTAGCAGGGATGATAATTCATTTGGTTATTAACTGCCTGACCTCCACAGACATTGCTTTATAGACTGTGGAAACATATTCATAAAATAAACTCATTTTTAAAGCCACAGCTCAGACTTTCAAGGCATTCTAGAAGCTTCTGACACCTGTTTTGTATTGCTTCAAAGGAAAACCTGTTGCAATCCAAACTAGAGAGTGGAACCCAAGTGAACTTTCTGGACTGCTGAGAGAACAGCCTGAACTAAGAAGTGGGTCTGAGGTTTTGTTTGTTCTGCCTGTGCTTGGAGCTCTGTGGAGCTGCTAGAAGCAATTGAATGTGATATGTCACAAAGGTGGAGTTGGGTTGATGTTCCTAAGAAACATTTTCATTCATTTGGGGTGATTCTGATTTATATTTTTTTTAAATAGTCTGCAGGAAGTGCTACTATTCTGTCTCCTGAGACAAAGTAAATACATCTAATGGACTTCAGTGGACTCCTATTTCTGTGTGTAGGGTTTTTTTCAGTTAGTCTGCTGCAGATAGAGGTGTCACATCCTGCTGCTTTTATGGGGAGGATCCTCCTCCCTTTGACACAGGACCTTGCTGGAAAGCAGTGTTCCTTCTTTTCCTGTAACACTGGGCATTGCTGGGACCTGTGTCAAGCTCTGTTCTTCCCTGCTTTTATCTGATGCTGTGTACCACCCAAGCTGAGAGCTTCCTATGCTCTGACATCTTCACATGGCAGAAGAAGCAGAGGAGAGCATGATTGGTATGTCTAAATTATCTTGTCCAAGCTGGTCATGCACACGTGTTGTGTAGCTCTTCTTGCTCTAACATTAGATGTTTCTCATTCATGCTCTTCTCCAGATTTGCTGCTGCTGGCAGGCCTGGCCATAAGGATTTAGCTCAGTGCTCTGCATGCCAAAGAACTTTCAAAGCAGTGGAAATATGTGATCTGGTAATGTCCTCACAGAAATGAGAAGCCATCAATTATGGGCTCCACCTAATTAGAATTCTTTAGACACAGATGTAAAGGATTCAGGTGCTCTTTGTTTATTACAGTTCATTTTAGGTCATTGCACTCCAGGGATACTTGCTGCCTTCAGTGTGGCCAGCATGATACAGGATCCTGGGATGGTTTGGGTTGGAAGGGACCTTAGTCCTGCTCCACCAGCCAGGCTCAGGCAAGCAGAACTTCCATCCTTGCTCAGAACTACCACAAATGTTGCCTCCTACTAATCACTGTAATTTTGCAAAGAACACTTGTGACCTTCAGGAACTGGGACAGGGCTTAGAAATATGTTCCAGCGAAGAATTCAGTCAGCTAGTTACTAATGTTCCAGCCTTTGTTTGAACTAATAAGATGGGAAAAGATGATCCATGAAGATGAAGTTAACCCCGTTGCCCAGGGCCTATGCCTTTCCCCTTTCTGTAGCAGGACAAAGGGGATTTAAAGGGCACTGCTGGATTTCCATGGCAAAAGGGAATCCCCTGCTAGGCTAAAGCTGGACTCTCATGCCATCTGATCCTTCTTCCTTTCTCCCCACATTAGGGATGTTCTGGGACACGTCCAGGGCAGAAAGGGACATGGACACGATGTAGTGTCCTGAGCCAGGAAAAGAGTCCTTGGGGGTGATCCCAGCTGGCACATGGTAATGGCCATTTGGCTGCTCTCACTTGCAGGAGGGGTGGCTCAGCCCCAGGCTGAGGCCCAGAATGAAAGGAGGTGCACAGGTGGCTTCCAGCCACGTTTGCCTTCCCGCTCCCCCTTGTGCTTCTGGAGGTCTGCACTCTATATTTAAAAAGCAACAAATACAATGACTTTACCTGTATAGAATGTAACTGTGACTGAGGCTTCAGGAGGTGTTTCAGTCCATGCTCTTGATCTGAGCCCTTAATCTTGTAGGGAACACTATGAGCCTATAGCCTGGGAAGACAAAGCCATGTCTGAACCACGTGGCTGAGAGACTCTGAGAGTAAACAGAAGCTCCTGGAGTTAGCGTGTGCTCAGTCTTCTGACTGGGCTCTCTCATAGCCCCCACCTAGAGTACTGCATCCAGCTCTGGGGATCCTAACACGAGAAGGACACGGACCTGATGTCTGCTGGGGGCCTTTGCTGGTGCTTTACCTGCCATAGAGGCTCAGCCTGTCCTCTGCAAGCTGCCAGAACACAACCCTTGTACTTACCCAGCTGCACTATGGCTGCCGCGGTGGCTTTGCCTGACTTCTGTGGGTTTTCCATCTCAGGCACTTTATAGACTTGCAGCATCACAGAATACTTTGGGTTGGAAGGGACCTTTAAAGCTCATCTAGTCCAACCCCCCTGCAGGGGACATCTGCAGGTTGCTCAGAGCCCTGTCCCACCTCACCTGGAATGGGGCATCCCACAAAGGTTGGTCATAGTCCTTGGTCTCCTGCTCCTCCCTTTCTACATCAACAAAGCTTCCAGACAGTGCTGGTGTAGACCTCAAGGTTAGAGCCATGCAAGGGTAATATCAGGGTCTGGATTAAGAGCAAGTGTCTCACTTTGAGCTAGTGAGCAGTCCTTGGGTGTCCACAGTTTTCAACAGTCCCTGAAAGTCTTGAACCTTGTTTGAGTTGGATTTTAAATTCTCAGTTAAAGCTTCATCCCCAGAAAGAGAAGGCAGAGCTGCGTGAGGGGACCAGGGACAGCCTGGTCAAGGCTGCTACTCATTTGCTAATAATATTTATGGAAATCAATGTACCACTTCTACAGTATTTTTAATATATTCAGCTTGTAATTTATATAGTTTAGTTATAGTTTATAATTACTGTTTAGCTCATTGGAAAGGTTAGCACCTACTGGAGAAGTACAAATTGATATCAAAGTTCCTTCCTGTCTTACAGAAGTGATGGTAAGGAATAAATTATTGAAGAAAATTAAGTATTATAATTGGGGAACATTCCCCTTTTACGAAGTAAAGCCAGCCATTAGCATCCAATTTGCATTTTATACCATGCAGCAGGAAATATTTAAGTTGACAAATAGGATCTTTAATACAGCAACGGATACTTGGCAGTTAGATATTAACAACTGTTACTGATGTGATTTATTCTCCATTATAAAAAGGGCATTACTACGTGCATATGATTCAGAAATTAACTCCAGTTTACCGAGAGGCCTTGACTGCCTGACCTCTTAATATCCTTATAATGATGCCATTTACCATTCAAAGACTTATTCGAGTCATTCACTGCTAGATTTGTTTTAAAGGCGTCCACTGTAGGGCAGATACTTGTGTGCTAACATTTCTCACTGCTGGTGCAGGCACAAGCATTTTTTAAGTGGGAAGAACTCACAGGTAAAGCTACGCCCTGGGTATTGAGGTGGAGGAACCTTCCAGGAGGAATCCATGGTACCTCCTTCTGCTACACCCTTGTCGTGGAATGGCCTCACAAATCCTGCTTGATGTGCTTTAGTGCTTTGAAAACCATCGTGGGGTTTCTGTGAGGCTTTTATTGTTGCCTGCAAGTCTGTCCTGCTCCTGGGCGGGGTGGGACATGTTCCACTGGCAGCCCTATGGTCTTCCAGTCTTGGTGTGCAGTTAAGTGACGTGAAGCTGAACTAGCACCACGCAGCAGTGGTGTGAGGGGAAGGAGAACACGCCACGAGTGGGATGTCCCCTGTGTGCCCAAGTACCCCCCGTTGTACGGCGACAGGAACGGGCTCTGCTCAGCCCCTGGATGACCAACACACATCCTTACTCCTTTTACTCAGCTTTTCCTTTTGGAATTTCCCTCTTGCTGTCTCAAGATACCTGTTTGTAACTCAAGGTTGACTTTTTTAACATTAATTATTCTTCAAGCTGAAAAACCCAGACGTGACATTTAGTATTTGGATAATTACCTCTGTATTGGGATCCAACCTTTACAACTGCTGAGCTCATCTCGCTGTTTTTGTCTAACTGTTGCTAAAATCTGGGGTGTACAGGTCACTCTTCTGTCCTTACCCCTTTGGTTTGCTCTCCTAAGTTAGTTTTTGGAAGTGCTTTATCCCTGCCAGTGATGCACCAGCACAAGGAAACCATAGATACACATCCCAACATGCATGAAAATAAAGGCACAGAAGTTCCTTTACACAATTGCTGAGTTTCATTCCTCTTATTCTCTCCTTTTTTTTTTAATTTTAATACACCTGTTTGTTTTTTGCTTAGGTGTGGGCAACAGACCTTGACCTTTGCTATAGTGACCAGCTGGCCTTCACTCAGCTCATGTTGTACCTGACAGATGGAAATCTGGATTGTTGCTCTGGCTGCATTGAAGTGTCCCTGGGCTCAAAGGAAATGAGAAGCCAACAAATTCAGCATGAGGGGGCAGAAGCTGTAAGTAGTGATTGGTTTACAAATCAAATTATTAATGGAAACGACCAGACAGTTAAAATCTGTCCTAGATTGTTGTTCTAGAGCAGCTCAATCTGCTGCTTTCAGATTTTGAACTGCTACTTTTAGGTTTTACAAGGTGAATAAAGCAAACGGGGTATCATCATGTTAGAAATTAAAGGTTCTGGATGCTTGTGGGTATCTGCCTCTTCATAGAATCATTTTGATGGGAAGAGACCTTTAAGATCATTAACCCACCTCTGCCAGGTCACCACTAAACCATGTCCCTCAGCACCACATCTACACTGAAATATAATCACCCTAAAAGACAGAATAATAGATGTTTTCCCTGTGACACAGTGGGTAGAGGGTAACTTCTTAATGTTAACAGGTATTGATTACCCCCCAACTGAAATAATTGGGTTTCTTCAAGATCACAGCATGTTCTTCCCTATAACAAAAAAATGTACCAGGTTTTAGTATAAGTAAATGAGTACTATTATAAATTTTTAAAAAAAGCTTCATAACAGTAAAGGTTCATGTTTGTTACTCGGAAATAGTGATTTGTGGTAGTAACTAACTTCTAAATATTTCAGGTAGTTTTCAGGTTGTAAAAAATATGGTCATTTATATGTTGCAAGAAGGAGGGAGGTGAAAGCACTATAGGAGTGACTTAAGAGCAGTCAGGAAGAAATTTGAGCCTTCAGCTCACGAGCTCTGCTATGGGATCAGAAGTTAGAGCAAAGTTCTACCCCAGCTTTGTACTTTCATGCACAAAACAGAGGGTAAGGCAATCAGAGCTACATCTGCAGAAGGATCTGGACACCTAAATCCCTCACACTGCTCGAGTTGAACCCAGATGCTGATTCTCAGAACTTTCATTGAGTTCTACATCCATTCTAAGTGTTGAGCATTAATATTTAGTATTAATCATGGACACAGGCACTTGAACAGGAGTTAAAACTCACAGCACCCTAACGGAGGTGAGTTCCCTCCTTGCTCTCTCTGGACCAGAATCAGAAAGCTGGAAAAGTCAGAGAATAAGAAACACCCATTTATGTCTCTATACACATACAAACCAGCTGCTGTTTTCCACATTTTGACAGAAGATTCACAACTCCCTTTTTTCAGACACAGAGGAGGAATGTAGCACCAGTCCAAAAATGTCATGGAGCTGTAATTTAGAGGTTAATGAGCTCTTGATCTATTGTTCTTGTCGAGCAACCACTTTTAGTTGGAGAGAAGTAAATTAGATATGATTAGTCCCAGTAGGACAACTTTTAGAAATGAAAAGTAATCAAGTAGCAACTTTTTTTTTTTTAATTAAAATTCTGTCAGAATTAACATAAATAGTCACTCCATCCTTTATTTTTCTTCTTTCTGTATTTCTGAGGGTTTCACCTCCTGAAGAGTTAACTACAAAACCCCCCACTCTCTGGAAAATGCCTTTAGAAAAAGAAACAAACAAACCAAGAGACAAATGCTTTTCCAGCGCACGATCTGTAATGAATGATTAAGTAAAACACTTTGTGTAAAATTATGATGTTAATAATGATTCTGTCCCTTTTAATTTATTATATATTCTCCATCCTGGTAGGTTTGATTTTGATAAAAGGGAGCAGCGACGGAGTTTGTGTGATGGTTTTATTTTTAGAAATCCTTCTTTGAAAGAACAAATTTCCTAGATACTGCTGCTACTGTAATTATGTACAAAACCAATCACTCATTATAGTTAGGATACATTATCTTCTAGACAGATGAGGCTAAATAAGCAACACATTAATAATTCATGCTGCAGTTCATTATGCATGTGTGTGCATGCTTGGTAGCTGAAATAAGCACCTCATCAACCTGATGCCAACCCTTAAACAATAGTTCTGTGTTATTGCAGCCACATTCAAGTTTACGCTTGTTAAACTGCTACTTGGATTATTTTATCAAGCATTCATTTATTTGTGGTCCCCTACTGCAGAGAACAGATTTTGGAAGCTCCTTTTTTAAGTTAATGACTTGAGCAATGGGTGTTATTAATTCTCAGAATATTATAAACATGATTAATTTTTCGGGCAGAGATGTATTATAGAAGGATTTCAACTATGTCAACTGAAATGAGTCAGTGTCAAAACAAATATTTTAGGGAAAATTCTATAAATTACTTCAACGTGCAGTGTCCCCACTCCAAATGAACCAGCCAGTATTAAAAGCAGCATCAGAGGAAAGATTTGGTTTAGGAGGACATCTCTGTGCAGTTCTGCTCGATGCAACCTCTCTGTTCTTTTGTCCTAAGTGCTGCTAAGAGTTCAAGTTCAAAAGCAGTGCTGGGTTTTATCCATAGCAAGAACTCCACCACTGCCAGTTGTGCAGCTCTTTGGAGTTGCTGCACCCAGTCTCCTCAAAGACTTGCTGAGAAAATTATTCACACTAATGCTGCAGCAAAATTCGCACTCTTGGAGAAACCCAACTTCAGAACCTACTGATTATCCACTTTGGCATTTCTGCTGTCAGGAAGAGCTGACTCTGGAATGACCTATGTGACCACAGGGCAGGGTGGATTCAGAGGATCCACTTGGAATGATTTCACAGGGCTCAGTTAACAATGAAGTCCTAAAAACACTAAAATGTGGTTTGTAAAGAATGACTCCCTGGCCCTGGTCTGCAACACAAGGGTTTGCATACAGGGTGAGATGAAGGTTTTATTTTGCTGCACAGGAAGCTCTATGCTCAGTAGCCATTGTGATGAACAGGAGTTCCTCCAAATGCAGTTTTACTCCACACTGATGTGAGTTCACTGAGAAAAAGCCATGTAAATAGTGAACTGTTGGATTCTGGCATAAACTGGTATGATAATAAAGAACCCTGTGGTGTTTTCTTTAGTCTTCTCCACGGAGCAACCGGTGGGCAGTGGCAAGCAGTCAGCTGAGGCACTCCAGCCTCTCAGGAATCTACTACAGTGTTCTCCTCCAGATGTGTAAAGCTCATGGTGTTGGATTTGACCTCCAGGTATGAACAAGAAAGATCAGAAAACATGCTATTGGCTCTGCATCATTTTTGTATGTAAATTCTGATATGTTGAAACCACTTAGCACAATGTAAAGTTTAAGTGTTCTGTTTAGCATCATATAATGTTTAAGTGTTGTGTTGAAAACACAGCAAGGTGTTGCTCCACTGTTTTGCTGAAGAGGAGTTGGGGTAAATCAGAATTGATTTTAAATCTGTTTTCATTATGCTAATTAATGAACTCTGAATTGCAGAAAGGTCTTCTGTAGTTCCTGTACAGATTAATGTTATAACATTTCCACGTCATCTTACTTGACTGGATCACAAATTCACAGCATGGTGGGGTGGGACGGGACCTCTGGAGATCATCTCACTCCACCCCCTGCTCCAGCAGCTCGCCCACAGCAGGGTGCCCAGGGTCACAGCCAGGAGGGTTTGGGATCTCTCCAGAGCAGGAGACTCCACAGCCTCTCTGGGCAGCTGCTCCAGGCTCGGCCACCCTCACCCCAAAGAAGTTTCTCCTCCTGCTCAGGTGGAACCTCCTGGGTTCCAGTTGGTGCCCGTTGCCCCTTGTCCTGTCACTGGGCACCACTGACCAGAGTCTGGCCCCAGCCTCTTGCCCCCCAGGGACCCTTTAGCTCTTCATCAACATTGATCATATCCCCTCTGGGTCTTCTCCAAGCTAAACAGCTCCAGGACTCTCAGCCTGTCCTTGGCTTACACCCCTACTCCAGCTGGGGCATGAGTCTTGAAGAGCTGCAGTGCTGAGATATCTGTCTGATTTGGCTGAAGACTGGAAGCAGTGAAGGAGAAAGAGCATTCCAACATGTTTGTTACACAACAGGGAGTGAGATGGTGCCTCTCTTGGAGACTACCAAGAGAACTCTGTCCTGGTGGGTTTGTTCACACTGCAAAAAGGATTGTGGCTGTCTCCAGGAGCTGTGCTGGGATTCAGGACCATGAGGGCACTTGGCCATCCAATGGCCCTTTCACACACCTCTGCACCCCTAAGAGAAGATAGTCCTTCAGAGGCCGAGAGGTCAGGGGGTAAGGGAGGACAGAAAGAGGAATGGAGACATGAAACACAGTCTGCTATGAAAGGAGGGGATAAGGCTCAAGAACAGAATTGCAGAAGAGTGAAGTGTAGAAGAGTTCAGACGTTAGCTGAGACAGAGCAGTGGGTGGAGATTCCACACCCCCAGGCACAGGGCTGTGTGGTGAACACAGAGTTTTGTGGGTTTTCTCAGTGAAAACCCTCCCCAGGGGTGGCACCTGCTGATGAGACCTCTCACGGTGACATGTGAGATCTGTCACTGAGCACATCTGAAAATCAAGCTGTGGGGTTTGCTGCTGAGCAAACTGCCACCAGTGTCTGTGGTGAGCCAGAGCAGGTTAATGGAAGTGTCCCATGTATGGCTAAGGTGATGTATAAGCTTTAAGAGCAGGGAAATCTCACCATATTTTCACTGTCTTTCTGGTTAAGTGTAATTAGAGCAATAATCTCCTTACACTGAGCACCAACCTGTTACAATTCAAACCCAGCCGCCCTTATCTCCCTGTCTACTACATTCATTCCAATTATCACCACTTGAGGAATAATTAAAGCAACTTTGTCTTTTTACAGGAAAAACAGGGAACAGTTTTTCTATTGTATGAAGATGAGAAGTGCCAGAGACTGGGAATGCTGTGAGTAGCACTGGTCCAGAGTGTGAGGAGCAGCTGGGAGCAGGCATGATCTGAGGGGTGACACAGCAGCGTGTGCTGCTGGGCTTTCCCACCACACGTTCACATCCACCAGCAGTCACTGTTCAGGAAAGTGTCATGACTTCGTCTAAGATCAGACCTCTGAGAAGTTTTAGGGAGGCTTTAAGCATTAGAGAAATTAAAAAAAAGCAGAAAAAATCTGCTTAGATCAAAGCCTGAGCGCACCACAGGCTGAAGACCCGCTGGGGTTAGCTTTCCAAGAGGTAGATTCACCAGCAAGAGCTGGGAGAGCAGGGGATTAGCACAGCCTGACTTTTACAGGCAATGTTATTAAAAAGCTAAGTATGCAGGATGCAAAGAAGGCTGAAGTTTAATTTTGTTAGAGTTTATATTGTTCTTCACAAAGTGATCAACGGCAGTCGGCAGATCTGATAGTTTAGTCATTCTTTAGACATAGGAACCTCTCCTAAGAAGTCTTAGAAAGCACAATCTGCACAAATCTGCTGTAGACTGATGGAAAACCTCTCCTCTGAGAGTATTTATGTAAAGTTTATTGCCAAAATAGGATGCAATGGGCAAGAGATTAAAATGGCTGTATTCCTTTGATGCTGGAGCTTGATCATTAATGACTTGGATAAGAACACAGCTTCCTCGAACGCTCAGTGTGACTTCAAGTATTGTGGGGGGCAGGAAGAGAAATAAAAGCGATCTCCACAAATTGAAGAAACACTATGAAGAGTAGCAAGGCATTCAGTTGGCAGCAGGTGCCAGAACCAGCACTTAGGCAGCAGTAAGGAACACGTGGAACAACCAGCTGGGCAGGAAGGGGCCCGTGAGTCACAGCAGGCTACACACTGGCCACAGGTCATGATGCTGTGATCTTGTGGAAGAAAGTAAATGGTGTCACCTGGGAGACACGACAAGTACTCCTTCCATTCTGCTCAGAGGGAGGCAAGGAAAACCCCAGGAGTCCTGGAAGGCTTGACTCACACGGCAAGGCTAAAGGGGCTGGGCTGGAGCAACCAGAAGTGAGATCTGATCTTCAAGCACATGAAAAGCCTCTGTGGGAAGGAAAAACATGATTTCACTGTCTTTGGTAGTAGGACAAGAAGAAATGAATTAAACTTACAGCAAGAAAGATTCATATTTAGCATAAGAAAGATTTCTGATAGTAAGGGAAGAACTAAATAGATTCTTGAGTGCAGTTGTCATGGGCGCTGTTTAGGAATAGATTAGACAAACCCCTGTCAGGATGATGTAGGTAGCATTGATCCTGGCCACAGGGAACAGACTAAATGAATCCTAAAGATGGTTTCTGGGGCTATGATTCTTCCAGCCTGTCCTGAGCTCCCTGCGGATGGGGCCGTTGGTAGCAAACACACAGGATGGGTCTGTTGGAAGCTTGGGTGTTGCTGCACTGCACCTCACCCACCTGCACTCAGTGTAGCAGCTCACAGGCACTTGAAAGAAAATCACTACACCAGCACAGAGTGTTGCATGAGCTACTGAGCTCTCCTGAGAGAGAGAGAGATCCTACCTACACTCTTCCTGACTCCTTTGGAACAGGACATCAGGGGTTGCTCCACCAGGAAGGAACATGACAATACCTCCTGGGTCAGCAGCTGGAATTGGCATTATTAATATATTGCCAGAATACTCTCAGATATATTCGCCACCCACTCTGATCCCGGATTGTCTCCTGTTGGATTTTCAAGGCTTTTGCATTATCTTCATTTGGAAATATTTTCAATGTAACAGCTTGAGCTTATAAAATCGCTGTGATAATGCAACATCAATGTGATTTACCATCCATTTACTCCACTGCAGTGGTACTGTCAGGTCAGTCCGTGAGGCATCCCATCCCAAAAGGTCATAGGCATTGAGAGTCAGTATGTACCCCTGAGAAACCAACCTCAAAAGCTACAGCAATCTGAGAAATGCTGATACTGCTGGGATGTCTCTTGCAGATGTCTTTCACTAGTTGGAGGCAGAAGCAACACTCCTCCTGAACTAATCTAGGTGTTTAAAGTGCTCTGCTCTCTCTAGTCCTAACTCAACTGTAGCCTTTTACTTGGAGCAGCTGAAACCTTCCTGCTTACTTCTGCTAAGTTGATTAATAAAAATTATTTATTACACAAATCCTTTCTGTTGACAAGTTAAAATGGAGCCTCATCTTTCATATCTCCCTGAAGATTGCCACCTTGTGAGATTGAAAATCCTCATTAAATTCTATCACCAGACAGGCACAAATGAGAGGGCGATTGTTTTTCAGCATGCAAAGGGAACCGCTGGTAAACTCATTTGTTTGGATATCATTAACAGAACAATCGGAGAGGATCTCCAGGGGGTCCTCCTGACCTTTGCTCGCAATCTCTTCATCATCCATCAAGAAATATCACCACCTAATATGCAAGGCGAGACCAATTTTAAGGTGAGGTGTTAATTAACTAACGATCCTGGTTAATTTCTGTACAAGGGCTGAAAATACCTCATGCTGTATCACAAACAAGTGCTAAGCCATTCCTTTTTTATCGTTGGCAGAACGGATTTTACAGTGTCTAGGTCAATATAGTAAGTCTCCCAATGAACCTGTTAGTTAAATTTAAGTTTGAAACTTTTTCTTTGAAAAGAGACAGACTTTAGTGTGAAATGATTTGTCATATAATGCTCCTGGCTGGCCTTTGTAAGAGCAAAGGAGCTCTTGGCACTGCCTCAGACAGTTCTGTCACGACTGGCTGTTGCCTTTTAAAGGGACACCATCAAGGTAGGACTCTTAAATTAGAAACAAACTTCTCAGTTTATAATAGCTCCTTAGATGATTAACACAGATTCCTTTTAAGCAGGCAGCCACCGAGTGCTTAATCCATCAGTTCACATCTCTCACCCCGGCATCCGTTTCACGAGCCAGTTTTGCCCCCAATTTTCTCTGCAGCTGGAGCCTGCCCACAGAGGCTGCCGTGGGGTGGCAGGGGGGAGGCAGGACAAAGGGCTGGGGCTCCCCACGCTGGGGATGTTCTCCCAGGAGCACCCACCTTTACTCAGCAGCTCCTCTGCGCCGACCTCGCTGGCGAGAGGAGCCAGTGAAGCACTAATGAATCCAACCCCGTGCCCCCAGACGAGCGCTCCTCACAATGCTGCTTTTTCATTCCAGAGAATAGCAAAACTTGCCAGAGGGAGTTCTTTTGCTAAACTCTTATCACCTTTAGCTCCATAAAAAAGTTTCTAAGATTCTCTCTGGAAGCATTTTGTGGAGGGGTGAAGGGAGCACTGTGTTACAGGTCTATATCTTAAATCACACGGCATCGTTTAGATCAGATTCCTTCCAGGGTGACTTTTTCCTCTGAAAAGCAGGATGTGAAATGACAGTTTTAGAGAAGGCATAATTAAATTTCAAGGTGTTACAGAGAAACAAACAAAACAACCCCACCTCTTCTTTCAATATGAGGGAGTGAAAAGCGACCATTGAAGGAAAATATAGAAAGGAACTTTATAGTGAGTTAACAATGATTTACATACATAAAATAAAACACTTGTAAGTTAATCAGAAGTACAAATTGAAACTAATTTGCTGCAGATTGTTATTTACCTGAGCTTCGTACATATTTACTAACAACTCCCCCAACTGTCTCCAAAATAACAGTAATTGTAATTGGTTGGTCCCATCCTGGGTAACTCTGGTGACCTTGGTGAGGGCAGCCAGGCAGCCCTGGGTGCTGGAGTCCCTTGCAGTGCCCGTTAAATAACTTGGATTCCTTGACTCCCTTGCAGATGGCAATTCGAGATATCGAAGCAATCCTAGGAATGACAGCAGAAAACAAACTGAAATTGGAAGAGCAGCAACTTTCAGGAGCAGATGCTCTGCAAAAATAGTTAATGAGAAATGTTTAAGCGCCTTATTCTTTATGCTTCTGGAACTGCTTCCTCCTCTGCACAACAGCTTTGGTTTCCTTTCTGCCCCAGCGTGTGGAGCGATGTGAAGCGAGACGGTACGGATCCAGGATTTCTGAGCATGGGCTTTAGAAGAACATCCCTTCTTTCACAAAAAAAACCCTGTGGAAAAGCTGAAGCTCATTGATGAACGCCCCTGATGGTCAAACTCTTGTTCCTGAAGTATGGTATCAGGTTTTAAAGTCTCGTTAATCAGGGTGCTGCTGTCTTTGTCACAAAATCAGACTGGGAGATCATCCCCCACTGGCAGAGTCCTGTAAGCCAGGGAACTACTGGGGAGAGTCCAGTGGAGGCTACAGAGATGCTGAGGTGCCTGGAGCATCTCTGTGCCAGGACAGGCTGAGAGCCCTGGGGCTGTGCAGCTGCAGAAGAGAAGCCTCAGAGGGGATCTGATCAGTGCTGAGCAAGAGCTAAAGGGCCCCGGGGGGCAAGAGGCTGGGGCCAGACTCTGGTCAGTGGTGCCCAGGGACAGGACAAGGGGCAACGGGCACCAACTGGAACCCAGGAGGTGCCACCTGAGCAGGAGGAGAAACTTCTTTGGTGTGAGGGTGGCCAAGCCTGGAGCAGCTGCCCAGAGAGGCTGTGGAGTCTCCTGCTCTGGAGAGATCCCAAACCCACCTGGCTGTGACCCTGGGCACCCTGCTGTGGGTGAGCTGCTGGAGCAGGGGGTGGGTGAGATGATCTCCAGAGGTCCCTCCCAGCCCCACCATGCTGGGATCCTGTGAACCCTAAATTCTCTTTCAAACATATTGTCTTCTAAAATACAGACTTCTGACATGATCAAAGGTCCAGTGTCCTGCCTACAAATAAATACACCTAAATGCCATCTTATCAGTAGGGCCAGCAACCCTGATTCCTCTTCAGAACTGATTGTCCATATTGTTACCATTCTGCTGTTTCCTCTGTTACCTGCAGATTTGCAGCAGTTCATTTGCAAATTACCAAGAACCTGAAGCTTTGGTGGCTCTGTCTGTCCATCAGATGGATTCTGTGTTTCAGGTACTGGGGATGGGTTTTGTCCCAGTTGCTGTGCACTGAGATGTTTAAAGGACAAGTTACATTTGTAAAATTATCCATCAAATCTCCAGTTTTCCAAGAGGCAACACATTCTAAATTTTAGAAGACTACATCATCTCTGTTGGATGGATACTGTTGTCCCAAGGTAGCTTTGAGCTCACTTCCCAAAAAAATCAGGTAAAAAGCTGTTTTTAAGACCCATAATGAATGTGACAGAGCAGTTGCAGCAGATCAGTGCCTGTTATTTTCTGATGCCCAAGTCTTTGATCCCTTAGCTTTGTACATTATCTTTTGTATTGGCCTTTTTCTTTTCTACTTTGGTCACAGAAGTAATTAAATGCAGATGAGACTATTTGCATAAATGCTGATCCCTTTTTCAAATAAATATCTAAATATTTTTGTACAATTCTTGCATTTGTTCCTTTCTTACATGTAACCTCAACATGGTTGTGGTTTTGCATATAACACGGCCCACAGAGATTTTCCTAAGGTGAAATTTAGCCAAGGAATGATCTTCCTGGAAACCTTCATGGTTCAAAATGAAAGTATCAGAGGTATTTTTGGCTGTGCTAGGTACAACAATCATCCCTCAGAGATGGAGGCACAGGAGAGCACAGTGGTACAGACCCAGGAGTCAGCAAGTTTCTGAAGGGTCAAGGAAAAGGAACCCTCCATCCAAGCCAGAACAACATAAGGTCTGAGAGGCTCATTAGTCCACTGGCACTTCATAGACTGCAGTGTCCTAGGAGGAAATGGAACCTGCTCTTCCTTGTGTCATTGTTCTATTCTGACAAAAGAAAAGTAACTGTTTTTGCAGGAAATGAGTGGCCTGAAAGTTCCCACACTGAGAGCTGAGAGAGATTTCTCAGTGTGTGCAAACATATTTTGAGGGGAAAAAACTTTTTAATTACTACTGACACTTCTGAGCAGTGAGTTGATGGAAGGGTTGAAACTGCTTTAGTCTCTTACATTCAGCTCCCATGCTGCTGAGGCCAAAAATGCATTTTTTTTAGCAATAGAACAGATATAAAGTGAACTCATAATAATTTTAAAAAAAAATAGTTATATAGTCATGATTCTCCTGGATTATTTATTTCCACTCACTAAAGGAATAACAAACTTCTTGAACTGTAGCTTGAATTTCAGAATATGATCCAGACTGGGGAGAAAACAGCTTTTATTAGAAGGTAAAAGGTGGCCCAGATATGGCTGCTGGTCAGAAACTGCCACAGAACTCTGCAGCTAAGGACAGGAAGAGCCCAGGGTGGTTCTGCAGCTGCAGGGTGTGGAGGAATGCTAGTGGGAGGAGATGGGGGGCAGTCAGGTTGGGCATCAGCTGCAAGAGGTGCAGAAAAATAAAATAAAGGTTTTGTGCTCCTGATGGGCCAGAGCTGCAGATGAAGGTGTGTGTTCAGCTGAGAGCACCTCATGGCTTGGGTTTTTGCCAGAATTGGCATAGTCTGTAGCACATGTGCTACCCATTCTCCTGAGAGAACATCACCTGGAGTTGATACTGAAAACTCAGTCTCCCTTTTTAGATAGCTGGGTTTAAAGCCCTGGAAAAAAACAAAACAAAACAAAACAAAAAAACCCCAAACAAAACAAAGGGGTATTTGGGTCAAGATTCCACATTTAGACAACTCTGAGCGCAGGGCAGTTCATCAGCACAACAGTTCTAGACTTCTGAAATGAAGTGTTCACCCCACTAATTTCCTTAGAGATTTCCAGTACCTTGTTCAAAGGGGTAGTTCAGGAGAATTTTACCACTTTCCATCCAGGTTAAAGAAAAAAATCCCTGGAATTTTAAGACCCACCTGATCCTCAGCATTTCACAGTTGTGAGCTAACATCACTTCCCATTTAACAGATCACCCATGGTATATCTGAGTTACTCCCTCCTTTGGTACATGGACCCTCTGTTTGATTTTAGACTGCAGATTTTGTTACAGCAATCAGGCAGTAAAGATTAGGAATTAACAATCCCCACCAACCTTCATGAGTGTAATTCAATTTATCATCTCAACTGTTAGACTGGTTTTTAGCTTTGTCCCAAAGATGTGCATTTCAGCAGGCTGGTTGGTTGTAAAAATGATGAGACTACACCAGAATCCAACAAACACAGAGTTCATAGTACTTCCAGCCTCATCTGTAGGCTGTTTGGTCATGACTCTTGCATGCTGTTGAAGTATGTGATGTTTTCCTAGGCATTTGTAAATACAGATGCTATTTCAGTCCATCTGTAGCTCCTTGTGCATGTCAAGGTGCATTTACTTCTCTTCTCCATGCCAGGTTACACTGCCAGAGGCTGAAGGATTTTTCCCTTCTTACTGAACTTTTAACAGTAAGAGCAAGACAAAGCTAACAGCAAAATTCCTTGAAATTCATTAGTTTTTTTTAAAAAAGTATGTCTACTTTATAGTTTTTTAGGAGGTGATTTTGCCCATGAAATGTGACAGCAGAGTATCACTGACAAGCTGTAGTACATTAATTGAGCCCTTCACCATATCAGGACACTATCACATTCCAGCTTCTTCTCTATCCTCATTATTGCCAGTAATAAAGAAAGATATTAAAGCTAACTATATGTTCTATTAATTATAGGGAGATGAACTTGAGTCAAATTTGTTACTGACAGTGATTAATAACTACTGGTTCTAGGCACATGTAGAACATTCAATAAACAGGGTACATTGCTGGGTAGTAATTGATTAATTAACACATTCATACTACAGAGCTCGATGGTTTAAGATTGCAGAGTTTGGGCTATTGCTTGTAACTATTAAAAAGGAAAAATCCGTTCCCATTCCTCACTTTTCTGTATATTTTTTCCTCAAATAAATTTACTCAAAGGTTCAAAACCTTTGCTTTTATTTAGTCAAAACGTATCATGGACTATGGGCTATGAATCTAAATGATTTCTCTTCAAAGGGCAGTCTGGCACTTTCCAAGAACTATTTTTAACCCGATGTCAAACTT